TGTGAAGCTAAAGCTATTTGAGATTTTGTTGGGGATTTACAAGAGATGGAATGTTACTTTACTATTTACACACAGCACATGGCATCAGCCGTCAAATTGATTCATTTTGTGAAATCCCTCCGGAACCACAGACCAAATCAGGATTGGACTACTGCTCAGTCCTCTTTTCAGCCATTTCATTAAGAAGTCAAGGTACCAGTGTCCAGAGGAGGCGTGGTCAGGCGCAGAATGAATCTTACTTGAGGTTCAGTGTGACGTTTCCACGGGGAGCAACGATTTAAGGAGCCATGTTATCTCCTAATGTTTGGTCGACTGTTTTTATCAAGGTTTAATGGTCAGTAAACTCATCAGAGAGAATATGTGATCCCACCATATTGATGCAAGGCAAAAGAAAGTACAAGTGTATAAGCTTTACAGCAAATTAAGATAATTAAAAAATATTTTTTTATTGGTCTTATATCATTTTTTAAAAGAAAAAGTTTCAGTCTTTTTGGCTTTAAGCTACAAATAGATCGGTGTACCTCATCTTTTTCGCTCCCATTCTTGCAGAGAATGAGTTTTGCTCTCTATATTGTAATTCTTGTGACTCTTCTTGTACCGTCTCTTTTTGATCTCTTATTCTAAAGTCGAAACTGTCCACTGACTCCTTTCTGCCTTGTTTTATTAGCTTCACTGAGGAAATGCTCGCATTAAAAGGGCAAGTACAACACATCTGCCTCTCTGGGGAGATATGTGTCTCATAAAATCTTTATCATTAGTCTTTCACACTTCACAGCGCTTATGCTTAAAAGCTCAGAGGTCTTTCATTTTTAAGTTATGCATCAATCTTCCGAGGCTGTGTACGTTATTAATAAATTGAATTCTTATTTCAAGTTCAGTTTACACACTGGATGAACGAATATATCAGTAATTTCAGTGTTTAATGCATCTCTTGTGGATTTATTCAATGAGATATGTAGATGCAGTTCCAAAAACAGATTGAAGAGTAGAAAGAGCCTTAGAAGCCCTGTTCAGAGCTCATTTCATTAATGCACAACGCTGTGCATTAATATTTTATGCCTGCTTGGTGATGCTACACTGTTTCTTCCTGCATCTTGATGAGCACTCAGCCGAGTTGCTAAGTCATGCAACCCTCTCCGCGAACCTGCTGCCTTGCCGTCCATATCTACAGACGCAACCAGAGTAAAAACACGTCGCTGGTTCTGCTCTGCTGACACACAGAGAAACCGCTCTTGTAACAGTTGGACATGAAGACACGCTGGGGTTGTAATTAGCGGAACGGCGGCGCTTTCTGCCATCTCTTCATGGTTTGGCGGGGCTGCAAGGTGACTCCGAGGGTTGATTCGCCCACTTTGTGCACACACCCACACGGTCGCAAATACACAGAGGGTCTTGACAGATATCAGAGTGGCAATCAGCCCACATGTGCCTCTTATGTTCCTGTTTGATGCACAGTCACGCAACTGCTCAAGTGCTTAGTCACTTCGGTTTTATCCTGGACCTCACTGTGTGGTCAGCCGGTTGAGTAATCGGTTGATGTCACAGAACCCTCCGAAGCTGGATTGTAACGGGACTTCTCGACTGCTGCATTCATACTCAAGGCTCTAGTTGGTCATTTTCTTTTAGGTGCGTGCAAGTCAGCACTGATCTTAATAGCCAAACAGATGGTAAGGTGGAGAGGCGGACGACCAGAAAGGACTTTCTTTGAGGCTGGAGATGCACCAATCAGTAAACCAGAGATCAGAACTGGTCAGTTTTCCCTTGTTTATTTCTGACCACTGGTGGGCATTTCAAATACTCATAAAAGGCAGAAATAGTTCCGCTTTTATTGTAAAAAGAAAAACAAAAAAATCATCAGCACTAATACTGACAGCATTAGTACTTGTTTTGTAAAAACAAATAAAGATGCCAGATGCTTTGATTATCTCAAGATTCCTTCATTTTCTGTTTTTCTCCTATTTGTTTTTCTCGATTATTGAGACTATTTTTTGTAGTAGTTAGAAATAAAATGTTGTCAAAACCACATTTTGCAGATTCTGGCTATAAAAAAAGCAACATTTGTTTAGATTCATTGTAAACTGTTTATAGTTTCTCCATGAGAATCACAAGTTTTTGTTGAAACACACCTGTAAGTCTCAACTTTACTTCAGCCCACATTTTCAAGGCAACAAAGCATTTTTTTAACTTTTGTCCCAAACACAGAGAGCAGAATATTTGTTGAAAAATAGAAATAGAAGTTACTCTATTTTTATAACTGGAATGTGATGTGATTTTTATTTTTTCATAATAAAACAAATGAAAATTGGCAACAGCGTAACCTGAGGATGTATTGCACTGTGCTTGAACATGGATAAATATTTTTCTTTAAACAATTTTCTTCTTATAGCATTCAGAGAAACCCTTTGCTATGAAAACAATGTGTTCCATGTCATTGCAGCATCAGAAAACAGAAGCACAGCTCCGTCTTACTTTCCTGCTCGTGGAAATGTTGCTGCAAATAACCCGCATGGTTCTCCAGGAACCAGAGGTGGAGATGTTTTATAGTTCATTGGCTGTTTGTTACCCAGCCTCCATCAGCAAGCACATTGCATTATGTGTGACCCACTGTTCTCTATGTTCAGCTGCTGCTGAACAACATCACTTTTTACATTTTATATTTATTGCTGCCAGACGGTTTTCTTTAGTGCAAATCGCAGAAATTGAATTATTGAAGAAATCCAACTAGCCAGAAACAGAATTATTTCCCCTAATTCTGTTGTTGAAGTCAATCATTTGGTTGATTTGTTTATTTTAGCTCTGTCCTGTGGATTTTAGTCCTCTGTAATTTCACTTTTAGTGACAAAATCCCAAACTGACCTAATATTGTTGAGATTAGGGTAAATCTGTACCATCTGTTGCAAAACTCATTATTTCACTGAGTTTTTAAACCCAATCCCATTTCATCTATTGCCCTCACTGCGCAAAAATGCAAGTAGCTTTTCAGCTAAGTGTGATTTAAAGCATTATTTCAGTCACGAGTCTTTAAGTTCTGTTGACCCAAATGAGCATCTGGTTGAGACCAACCTAAACCAGCCATCATCGTGTCCAGTTACCCACTCTCTGAGCGCATAAACATCTGGCTGTGCAGATGGATGAAACGATAGAGGACAAAGCAAACTCATTAGGGTTCATTAAGCATTCAACCAGACTGTGTAATGCAGACGCATATGCGTTACCCAAAAGATCCATAAATTATGACTTTAAACAAGTCACAGTTCACACCTGCCCCGCTGAGCCGTTATCTGGTTACAGGGAGAGTTTAGGGTCCCTGTGGGGATATTTATCCTGACACCATCCTGCTGCGATTGTCCTACCCCTGTTTTAGTTTTAGATGCTTTGAACATACATCTTTTCCCAAAGGTTAAATGAAATATTTGAAATTTGATAGAAAATAATTCCTACATTCAAAACAGACGACTTTCAGCTGATTAATATGTGCATCCTGGTAACAAACTAAATGAAGTACCATGCATAATAAAATAGTTTTCTTTGTTAACCTGTTTCTTGTCAGCTCTGCTGTTTGGACTCTTGCTTGGCCTTGCAAGCAGTATTGAAACTGTCAGCGAGGGAGAAATGTCTGCAGAGTCGCTTGAGACGACTTGCTGTCTGTATCTTTCAAATGAGCCTTGACATGTCATTCCCCTTCACCTTGCTACCTCATTGCTCTGGCTCTATCAGTAAACAGCCTTGTAAGCTCAGAGTTCAACATGCCTAATCAGTTTTGCTAGTCTGCCAAAACAAGATCATTTATTAGAGAGAGATTTTTTCTGATCCTGTTTCCTTTTCCAATTTCTTTAGTGTTTTTATTCAATATATATGTTTTTTAGCCATGAGTGAAACTCTGTTGGATAAGCAGGTTGTCGGCATCTCTTTTGGCTCTACTCCATTAGTTTTCCGATCGACTGCCGGCTTTGGAGGCACATCCCACCCCAATCTGCACCATGTCCTCCACTTAATCGTCCATCCATCACTTGAAATCAAGGCCCAGGTCTTTGTGCCTGTGGGCTGATGGCATCACTCATTATACTGTGAAGTTGCAATTGCTGCCCGACCCTTTCCATCCAATTTCATGGCTCCTCATGGTGCTGGTGCCCCTGCTGCTCCACTCTGAAACTCTTTAAATGAACCAACCTTTGGCTCTGAGCCGCCACGCTTCGCTGCAAGGCGAGAGCGCGGCGAATGCAGTTCGAATGAATGTCAAGGCTTGTTATTGTACCTTTGGGTTAATACAGTTTGGGTACTCAAGAGCCCAGTCTCTATTTCCCTCCACCCCCATTTTACACTCATGTCAAATCCACTCCCACACAAATCCTGGGATTAAAGGTTCACTGCTCTGCTAATGGAGAAAATAAACAGGTTTTGGGTCTGGGGATAAGAAATGCATCTTGACTTAATTTAGCTGGAACTAGTTTTTGGACTGAATTTGCCTCGAGGGGACATTTTTGAATTTGATGAGTATGTTCAATTTCAGTTATGCTCTCGTCTCAATTAAGTGGATTCTCTGTGGAGGTTCTTGGCTTTTTTGGAACAAATTTGTCTCCTTCTATAGTGATATTGGAAAAAATTAGGCTATAATTCATAAACAGCATGCGATATTTCACACTATGAGAGAGTTTGAATTTAAATGGGGCTCATCAAAATACTTGAACCAACTATTCGTGCATCAGGCTGAATTGAAGTGTTTATATTGTGGTTAATTTTGGTGTTTGAATAAATTGGAGTGAGATACCCCTGTTCAAGGAATCTTGGAATTAACACAAACATGAATAATCATAACCAAAGTTATAAATTTCAAAATGCTAAGATTCTAAGACATTGATACAGCTAAAAATTATTTAAGTTAAATATACAAAAACAAATAAACCAATAAAAAAAAAACTGTAATATTGCTGTGCCAATCACATATTGAATCATTTGTGCCCTTTCCAAATTCTTATCACTTGCCTCTTTAATTTCTACAGCCAGTGAAAACTGTCATGACTTCCACCCCATGTTCTTCACCCATGATCGCTCCGTTGAGGAATTCTTCTGCATCTGCATCCAGCTGCTCAACAAGACCTGGAAGGAGATGCGAGCCACAAGCGAAGACTTTAACAAGGTAGGCCGCATGGCTTTCCTGCTGGGGTCAGGCTTGTGTTTCATGCTGATCAGAGTTTTAGCCATGTGCTCTACTTGTAGACGATGTTGTCCTTCTTTTTTTGTATTATTGGTATGTGGTACATTTATATTGGACTGAAAGTTTGATTTACACTTGACACTAGGATTTTTATTTCATATCAAGACTTCTACTTAAAAACAAGTTGGGCACATTTGACATTGCATTCATTCTTGCTGATACATTTACTGGAACATTTTTCCCTCAGGTTTTTTAATAATTATTAATGGAGTTTTACTTTTTAATTAATTAATGTCTTGCTAAATGATGACAGTGCTGCTTGATTTATTGATCTTGAAAGTAGGTCAAATTCAGTACAGTCACAATCTTTAATGCTTAATTACATAGATCAACATATTTCTTCCTTTTTATACTAGCTGTAATAAATGCATAAAAAATGTTCACATTTTTAATATTTATTTCTACTTGTCCCTATATGGATGTTACAGTTTTGTTTGTAGTAGTGTACATTTCCCTTTGGTCTCCTAAATCAGTTCTTTTGTCTCTACTTGAAGCTCAGAGGAGTTTGGATTAAGATAAACGTCCTTTAAACTGGCTAAGGTTGAGTCAGTTCACACAGGAACTGTGTCTGTGTACACGGCCAGATGGTGATAGTAATGAGGTTTTCATGACTGATATTGTACGTCTTGTAGTCAATTGGGCATCAGTTGTAGGAAGCAGCAGATGCTCTCTGCATTTCTCCTGATTTGTCAGACGAGTCGGGTTTGTCTTGGACGAGCTTCAAACCACAGTCAGTTCGTTTTTATTTCAGATTGATTTATGCTACGTGTTGATTCTTATGGAAAATTCCTTCACTGCACTTTAAAAGAAGGTTTGGATCAATTAATTCTGTTAACCACGATGGGCGTGATTGTGGTTATGATTGTGGCAAAAATATCATCCAGACAAAACAAGATTGCAGTAAATCTTCAGTTTAATGTGTTTTACTCATCCTGAGCACGCGTAAGCCAACAGTGGATCCTTGAATAGATTGAACTGAAGTCAGAAGCTGTGTCTATCTGCCTCGACTGGTTGGGGGACTAAACAGGCGAAAACAAACAGAAACACCAGGGCAAAATACCTTATTTTAGAAATTAAAAACACAAAAAAAGAAATTACAGAAACTTCAGTTAACTTTAAAATTGGACCCACTGGATGAGGGAAAAAAACATTTTTTACAGTGCTGCTGGGTAGACTTGCATCCTGAAACTATTAATGTTGCCTTAATACTTCCACCTACAATATTATTTATAGTATACAAATATCCACCTCTAAAGGACACAAAGTTGTGTTTGGAAATGTTTTTTTATTTTTTTATTACATCATTCAAGGTGTTTCCGCAGCTCCCAGACTCCACAGAATAGTAGTTGTTTTTTTTAAAGAACAAAGTCCACTCTGTAATTTCTGGTTCAGACCTTCTAGCTGTGATTGAAGTGAGCCGCTGCTTAGAGCTGCTCTCAAAATGTCACCCTGCAGAAAATTGCTCTGCTTCAGGGTGAAACTATTATAGCAGAGTCCGACTCCAAAATCTGGAAAATACACTTCCAGGAGTTTGTGGTTCTTGTTATAGAGTAGGAGGAAAGTGAACATTGACAAAGGCATAAAAGTCTCAAGTTGCTGCATTTTTATTAAGGATTGAATGAGTCGTGACATCTTTCTTTAGTTTTTGCTTAAACAAGTATATTTATTGATCTTGAAAGGATTGCTATTACAAATGTGGCTCGTCTTTCTAAAGTTTGACCATCATCTTTTAAGATTGGTCATAACAGTTGTGTTACTTTTTTTGTTTTTAAGAACATTTGTATTTTAAAAAGATGCACTCAGTGGGAAAGTTAACGGTTTTGATTAGGGGTCTTCATTGGTTATCCGGTAGTGGTCAGGATAAAGGATTCAGCACGAAAAGAAAATCAAATAAATCTGCACTCAAATGACAAATTGATGTTGAGCGGAAAGCAGGAATCAAAGATTTTCAATAAAACGGTTAGATGCAGCATCCATGCACCAGATGGATGCTACAGAGCACTCTCTGTACCCACATAAAGCTTTTAGTTGCTAGTTACCTCGCCAGCATGGCTGCATTATTTTGTTTTGTGAATTCACAATGGAATAAAAGCTGTATATGGCTTTACTCATGCCATTTATTCCTTGTGTTTGTTTGTGTTACAGTTTATTGAGCTATTGATGCACAAGGAGAGAAGAGGCAGCTCCAATTTGTATTAACTACCAGGTCTTTGCTCACAACTATGTCTCCTTATGCCACATGGATTTCCCGCCTGTGTAGAAAAACATATTTTTCCATCTGATTGGTGTGACTCCACATACATGTGCACCCTATTTTTTTTCTCTTCTGTCAATACCTTAAAAGTTTGGATATTAGAAGTACCTTTTTGATATAAGGCTATTTAGTGTGAGGGCAGAGCTTAATGCTAAGCGTCACAATTGTTCAGTCTCAGATTATATTGACTGTGAGATTCAGATTAATTACTGCTTGGTGAAGGAAGCGAATGTGCTTCTTGGTGGAGGATTTTGCCCAGTAATGATCATTAATTTTTCTTAAGTTTAACTGATCAAACTTGTTGATTTGTAATATTTCTGGTGTTCTTCCCCCACCTCACCCCCAACCATGTAGAAAGTTGCAGTCACCAAAAGAACTATGATTTTCTTGCTGTGAGGACTGAATTTGTGACTCGACTGTCAGCCTGAAACTGGAGTGCACATTTGAACGCATTCTGCAATTTAAAATGTCATGTCAGCACATTATCAGAGGGAATATACTCTTTACAGAACGTATGCATCCTAATGTGGGTGAATAATAAGGGGGATCAAGGATAATTCAGCGGGCAGCCATTTTCTAATCTGTATGGCTTCCCTGCTGCTTCAACATTTGCCGCTGACAGCACTGATGTGTGGAATACTAAAGCACTTGAGTTTTTATCAGTCCTAATGTGCACGTTGCTGTGCACTACAAGTGTGTGTCCATTTCTTTAGCACTGATTGCCATTTCACTGCCTTGGTGTCTGTGGCTCATTGATTTAGCATCACTCTGCACGCATTGCAATCTGCTAATTCAGGGAACAGTCTAAAAATAAAAAAATACACCGGCCTGCTGATTTTTCTTCTGTCTTAATGTGGTGCTCAGTACAAGACGAGGCAGGTGTGTGTTTGTATATGCGGTGGGCTTAATGGAGGCAAGTCTGATGCTCCTAGGGCACCGCTTTGTCCGTCAGCAGCCGTTTCCCCTGTTTCCATAGCAACCCCGTCCAATTACGTCGGCGGCGCTCTGCCCTGCCTCTGTTTTAGCTAAAATGGAGCCACTCGCTCTGCGTGCGCACGCGCTTTTGTTTCGCCGTGAGCGCGCCCATCGGTGACTCGTGAGGCTGCTTGTCGTCCCTTCATCGGAGCGTCCGCACTCACAGCCCCTCTCGTCCTCTTCCTCCCCACAAGAGGGGAAGAGGGAGCCTTCATCTCTCTCTTCTCTTCTCGAGACCTTGGGGGGGAGGGAAAAATCCCTCAGTGATGTAGCGACTCGCATACCTCCTCCCCCTTCTCCTCTTCTTCCCTTCTCCTCCCTCTCTCCCTCCACGACTAAACACACACACTCTTGTGCACACACAAACACCTATATTTATCATGTGATCCGCTTGCTGCATCACCATTGGTGTCTCTGATTATGGCGTGGGTCCAATCAGTGCATAAGCTCAGAGATCAACATAAGTGAAGCAGAGCAGCTTGGCTGATGCTCTTAGAGCCACAGAGGGAGAAAGGAAGGCAAATAGAAAAGGTAGAGGATATTATAATAGTAGCTAGATGGTAAGGAGGGAAGCTTAATATATGAGGGGCGGGTTTAATTAAACAAAAAATGCTTAGGTAGAGAGGCAACTGCAGGAGGGAGAGCCAAAACAGGCAAATAATAAAAGAAAAAAAAAAAGGAGACGGCGTTGACAGATGAGTTTTCTCCTATTGTGGCTAACGCTACAGCTAACTGTCCACAATCAGCCAGACTGCTCTTCTGAGGAACCATCTGCTCCCTCCATCTTTCCGCCCGTCTCCTGCCTCCCTGCCGCGAGACGAAAAGTCGTTCTCCGCGAGCGGCTCGGGGGATTCATCAGTCACTGTGGAGAGTATCACACGCCGCTCAGAGCCATGGAGGTGACATGTAAGTACAGAGATGGGAAATGTAGGAGAGGAGGAGGAGGTGGTCCTAACAGGAGAAAGAGGACTGTTTGTGTTTGTGCGGAGGAGGAGAGGGGGAAGCAAGGAGTTGGAAAGAGGGAAGAAAATCCAGGGGAGAGATGGAGAAGATGAGGGAGGAGGGACAGATGGGGCAGTGTGGGCTCGGCCAGGCGTAAGCAGGATGGAGCGGGACCCAGATTACAGCCTTTGATTTAACACACACACACTTATGTGTTGGATTATAATTTCACTCTGCCTCTAGTTGCATATATCCACTGTGCACATCGGGCATCATCCGTATTTATCTGTGTTATTGTGGCGGGAGGGAGGTCGGGCTTTGTTGTTGTTAGTGGGATTACTCCAAATCACCAACACCCACTGTTCGTCAGCAGAGGAATCCAACACCTCTACTTCTGCCGCTCTGGACTCCACACCGCCTCTGGTAGCTTTGGATGAGCTTCAGCTAGTGTTTGAGCCAGAGGGCTTTGACACAGGATTAGAGGAAGGTCTGCTCCAGATTGTAGAGCAGAAGCCTTTGAAATGCTGCCAGCACTGTATTTTATTTGTTGCTATTGCTCTTTTTTTTTTTTTTTTTGCCATATCTATATGCTCATGCTGTGACATGTTATATTGTGATCTGAGGTGAAAGTGGGAAATAAATAGTTTGACTGCCTGAAGATTTATCAGGGGTCAGATGAAGGTTTATGGGTTCAGGTTTTTGAATTACCTGATGGGTTTCTGCGGTCGGTGTGCATGCTGAGGTCAACTTT